GTGAGTTGCCATAGTTTCTTGTCTTCCTTTGAATCGAGCTTCTCTCCCACTATCGACTTTGCCTCACCATCTGCATCAGCCTTTGTTTCTTTCTCGTGAACAGTAACTCACCATCTCACTGTCCGAACTCGCTGGCGTTCGTTGGCCCAGCTGCAAGTTACTCATTCTCTAAGTGTTGAACTTGCCTCATTTCCTCATTCTTTCCTTCTCCCTCATCGATGATTTTCTTGCACCATCACCCACGTGCCATCTAAGTAAGCTTTCATTCTTTCCTCATGTCTTCATCAGCTCGAGAACAGCAGAACACTAACCCATAGTCCAGCGTCTCTGCCTATATTTTTTTTCCTTTTCCTTCACATCTGCATCCGAGCTTGTTTCACTTCCAGCGTCTCTGCTCTGTTTCTTTTCCCTCACATTGCTATGTGTTCAAGGCGTTATTTCCCTATCCATTCAATTCATCGCAGAACCTGTTCATTAGGTGAGATCCACTGCTGTGGCTGGAGGTACATTTCTTTGTGAGGCTCTATCGCACCTCTATTTCTGTTCGAGTTCTGCACATTTTTTTAACTTTCCTGTTCATTTCTTGTTGTCTGTAGATTGTAGCTGATTTTCATTTTCATTAAGTGATTCTGCCGGTAGTTTTTGTTTTGTTCTTTGAGCTTGATTCTTGGTTTTTCAATTGTGCTTTGCCCTCATCTTATACTTTTAATTTAGACTATGCATTTAAAACTTACAATTGGCTGCCACTGAACTGCGATTTACATTCTTTATTCTTTGTTTTGCATATCTGTGCTCTTCATCCTATTAGTTGTGAGATTTGTGAGATTTCATGGAAATGGATCATTGTTTTTTTATGCTCTAACATGCTTTTACCTCAACTACTAAAGTTTAATGAACTTAAAGCTGGTTCTCATTTTTTGCCTGATTATCTACACCTATTGCGATATGTGTTGCTGAATTTCTGATTTTCAATGGCAGTATTTTGTGTGCTTGAGTTGCTTGGCATATTGCAAAATTCTTTGATTCTCTTCTTTGGGGATGATGAGCATTTGCTGGAATTCATATTGGCTGGCAGTCTATTGTTTCATTGAGATTTCTTTATGCTACAATTAAGTTGTTGGGCTTGACTGTTGGCTTTAGTGTGCTTTGTTACTTGTTCTGTTGCATTATTATTTGGTGATATTGGGCTTGCGTTCTTTATGATTTAGGCCTACTCATTTGCTTGTTTTGTGCTGCCATGTCTACCGATGGACACATTTATGGGTTGTACACTCTGCTTGGTGTGGTTAAGTGATTTATGCTTTGTTGACTGTCCTTTTAATTGTTTCATTCTTCTTATTTCAGGTATGGCTAAGGTTTCTACTTTAAAAAATGCTATTGCCACAAAAGGGAAAGAAAAAGTCACCTTAGCACCTAAAGGGACTTCTCACAAGGTGTCTTCCTCCAAATCTAAAGTTTCTACTTCGGCGCCACAAGCACCTACGGCTAGGTGAAAGGGTCGAGCCCATTTTTCAAGATTCAAGGCTGAGGAAGCATCTACTCTCTTTATTGCTTATGTGGGGTCTAAATCTTTTCACAAAGACCGATATTTATCAATCCTTACTCATGAACCAGCTTATCCAAGAGTTATTGCCCAGGTTGGACATGCTTCACTAAACAATTTGACCAGTTTGTGCCTGCTTTAGTCCGTGAGTTTTATGCTAATGCCACTTTATGTGAAGAAGGAAAATATTGGGTGTGAGGGAAAGAGGTTGTAATTAATTCTGAGGTTATTAGGAAGCATTTTGCCTTACCCCTAGTTTCTCAGTGCCATTATCAAGCTCTTCAGAAAGATCGAAGCAACATTAATAGGGAAGCTATTTCACGGTGTTTAACAACTAGGGGTCAAGCAGTTACACCAAAAGGATTTCAGAAGGCCTCATTTAATTCGAAAGGCTGTATTTTGGCTTCATTTTATATCTGCTAATATTATGCCTAGTTCCAACTCCACTGGGATGACCACTGATAGTGCCCCCTCACCTATTGCATCATGACTAGCAAGTCGGTTGACTTAGCACCCTAATTTTTGAATCTTTGAAGGCTTGCATCTTTGGAGGGGAAACTACTACTCTTGTCTTCCTTCACATGATTACGGATATTCTCTTAGCTGCTGGGGTGCCTATTGAAGAATTTGAGCCTCAAACCCTACCTAAGGCTCCCATTAAGTATGACCCCTTTCGCAATCCTGTTGGTCCTGAGGAGCACAATGCAGAAGTAGATTTTGAGGATCATGAGGGAGAGCCATTTGATACTTGGGTTCGTCAACAATTTGCCCTTTTACATGAGGAGAACCGGACTATGAGCAATTGACACAAGTGTTGGCTCAATAGAAACAAATCCTAGATGCTCTCAAATATCTCCCTTTACATGTCTTAGCCGATCTGGGTGTTTCTCCTAGTTCGGACACTTAGTGGCTACTGATGGCCATTACACTCGGCACCACTCTTGACTCCTTTTAGTTTATTTTCTTTTTCTTGTTGTTTTTGTTTTTAGGATTTCTTTTTATTTTGTTTACACTCTTTGTGGTGCTATATTTTGATTCCTATAACTGCTTCTACATTCACTATTGGGTCTGTAAATTGGTATTGACTAACTGTCATGCTAACTTGACATATTTTGTGCAGTTAACTTTGAAACTTATCCACTTTCTCTTTGTTATCTTGCCACAGGTGCAATGTCTTCTCCCACTCTATATATGTCATCTGCTGTCTCTCAGTCTATGAGTCTGTCAGCCTGAGTTGTCAAGGGAGTACTAGTGTCCCTCTCTCTTTCTCTCTATGTTTATGCATTTTACACATTAGGGACAATGTGTAGTTTAAGTGTGGGGGAGGGAGTGATTGTGTTCACTTTTGTTACATTGTTTGATGTCCTTGAGTTTTATTGTTTGTTTTGTTAGGAATTATTGTACATATTGGTAAATAGTCTTTTAAAAAAATTTTAATATCTCAAAGATATTTTGCTTTGGTATTTTTGTTTATCTTTTGGTGAATTTTGTTAAGGTTGGATTGATTTAGACTTAAAAGAATTAAGTTTGATTAGGAGTCAATCTTCCCTTCTTAAAAATTGAGTAAATAGACAAAGAATTAAGCTCAAATAATTGAATATAGGTTGTCCAAAAAGCTTGAAAGAAATTTGAGCCTACATATCGTTTTCCTTGAAGAGGGAGTACATTTATTGTAATTCTATCTCTAGAACTTGTTTTGAATCTTTATTGAGACTTATCATAGCCATTTGCATATACAAAAATGATCAAGGCATTCATTTACTTAGCTAGTTTGGCCAAACATCCATCCCAGTTAATAAAATCATTTGTTTCACCCATTTAAGCCTTAGCTTTATTCTAAAAAAAAATCATAAGCCTTTTTGCTAAGATTTATCCACTTTTCATCCATTCTTATTTTTATTTACTACTCTAGTAAGTGCTAAGTGTTGCATCTATGAAAAGAAATGAAGGAATTAAGAGTTAGTTGGGGTTTTGAATAGTGGTTCAAAAGAAAAAAAAAGGAGAGAAGATGCAAAAAGAAGAGAAAAGATTGGAAGTTAAAAAAAAATGATAATGAATAATACCAAAAGAAAGAAAATGAAGTGAAAAAAAAATTGTGTCGATCTTCATTAATACCTCTTGTAAATAGTTATGGACTTATGGCTTACCCTTCAATTTTCTTGCTCCTTATTTAAGATGCTTAGCACTGGCTAGAGTACGTAATTTTATCCCATTGAATAATTTTCTTTCATCACCATACCTTGACATTACAACCTTTAAAAAGTCCTTTTGATTTGAGTGTGCATTGGCATAATTAAGTGGAGATTAAGATGACAAACAAGCTTATGGTAGATGGTTTGTAATAGATGGAATTGAGTGAAACACTAACTTGTAAACACCTTGAGCGCAGTGTGCAAACACTTGACTGGTAAGGGGCAACTTGTTGAAGATTATTTTTGCTTAATTAATTATTTTGTTACTCTTTATTTTTGGAAGAGGAGACAGATTTTTAGTTAGACTAAGTTTCTGAAAGTTTAGATTGTATGTGACTTTGCAATATTCACAATTTCTTTAGACCTTTTTGTATAGTGATTTTCTTTCGCTTGAGGACAAGCTAATGTTCAAGTGTGGGGGTTTGATGACTTTCAATATTTTAATGAATTTAATAGTGTTTTTAATGCAATTGGAAGTCATCTTGTGGAATTAATTAGCAAATATGTGATTAAGTGGATAATTATTTGTGAGATTTGTTGTGGATAAAGTCCAAAACAATTGTTGAAGTTAGTGGATCAATTATGGCATTAAATCTGAGTTTTATTCATATAGGGAGGCCCAACTTATGGGCCCAAAGATGATAATTTTGAAGCCCACAAGGAATTGAATTCTGCCCAGTGTTGCTGCAGCACCAATTTTGGATGTCGCGACATCAGACCAGTTTTTAGCAAAATGCACAACTTCACTTAAAATCATGTTTTAAGGGTTTCTGGCTTTCATTTCCGTTCCAGTTCGTCTTCAACCAGCAACTGCACGTCCAGGGAGCATTCTAAGGTGGAGAAAGAGTTGGAGAAGCTTGGGGAACACTTGGGTCTTGCGATTTGTGACAGAAATCATCCTTCCTAAGCTTATTTGTGTAGTCTTCTAAACCTTGTAGCCCCTCAGCTAATAGTTGTTGGTGAAAATAGCAAAAATAATGACATTTATGTTTTTAAATTGTCTTTAGTTTTGCATTGCCACGGTGGATTGGGCCAATGGAGATCAAATGAGGAGTGTAAGCGTCATCCTTTCTAAATTCTTCTGGCACCTTTAAGATACAACACTTTTCAAACAACATAGAATCATCTACTTCGTTGAGGATGTCTAAAAATATGTATCTAGCAATATCATTGTTATCTTCTGCCATTGAATCCTTTTGCAAGACTCTGATAATTGATCTGCATAAAAAAAAAAAAAAAGCCATTGTTTTGTTGCTAGTTATAAGTATAAATGTATTCAATTAGCTAGCACCCATAACTAAGATATCCATATATAACCTAAGAAGGACCGAGTATGTGTATTAGATACAATATAGTATGATATGGTGGAGACATTAATTTTCAAATTTTAAAATACAATACAAAAATATTTATATGAAGACTTCATCGATAGATAATACAAAAAGATATTAGTATTATTTAATGATCAATCTTACAATATTCATTGAATCTGATTTTCACAAACCAAAAAAGCTCGTGGATCTTAATTTGTACCTTTGTTTTCATTGGATGAATCCTTTTTTTTTTTTTTACCTTATTGAATGAATACCCTATTCGTTAGGTTTTACTTAAAAAAAAAAAACAAAAAGGAAAAAGTAAAGACTTACATCACTCTGTCAAGTAACATCTATTTGCAATCCTTTTCTATTGGACAAATAGGTAAGGGCTATCATTCACAATATCATATCACATTTCTTGTTAATAGTTTTATTGTCATTGATCCAAGGTCTCAAAGAAATCTTTTTTTTCTTTTTGATCCAATGTGTTTACCTTGAACTTTTTCTTAACTCCAAAGTTAAGGTTGATGCAATATCACCTCTTAAATATTGAAAAGCCAGTACAATGCTGCCCCTTAATTCATTAATAACCGGTAATTTTAGTGGACAGAAAAATATATTCTAAAAAATTAAAATTAGGTCCTGAATACAAAAAAAAAATACTGATTAAGTCCCTAAAATTCACAATAATTGTCAATAGATTAATGTTATTTATTATTCATATAAAATATTAAAATATTATTTTAACCAGCCACTTTGACAAACTTAAATACCATTGTTATTTACCAATCTTCACATATAATTTATGAGTCAACTTTTGAGATCTATAAATCCTTCGTAAATTTATGACTTAACTAGTATATATTTGACTGGCCATAAATTTATGAAGAAGACCTTACAGATTTTAGAGGAAGACTTATAAATTAATAAATAATTTTAGTAAATTTTTGAATGAGATAACTTACAAATGTGGAGGAAGACTTATAAATTATCATATTATTTTATTTTACAAATCAACTAATGTACAAAAGGCATATTTACTTATAAATCTTGAATGTATTAGTTAAGTTGCGAGTTTCTAAATGAAGACTTCTAAATTTTGAAAAAAAATTATAATTTATGATACATTCACTCATAAATTACATATAATGGATGCTGTTTCAACTTCTTAGAGCATTTCTTGACAACGATGAACAATAAAATGCAACAAAAATACCTATTCAGGCTTGATGCTTCACGTGCAGAGAGTCTTCCAAAGATTTTTTATTTTCTGGGCAGAAGAAGACTCTAACCGTAATATGATTTATGAATAACATAATCAACCTTCTGTTTTTTTTTTCCTTCTAGATGCATATGCAAGATTATCCATTGGTTTGAATTGTGGATCCTGAAATGAATTATTAGGCTTGTCAATGGTTCTATTCAAATTTTTTAAAGCAGACAGGACTAAACATTAAAATAATTGCCACCTTGATGTCTTCTTTTGAGTCAATTGTCTTATCAATAACACCTAGAGGCAACTGGGGAAGGTCGACCTTTTTAAACCCTTAAAAAACAATGTATTATGAGAAAAAAAAATTATCTCTGCTAGAAGATACAAACATTTTAAAATTTAAGAGAAATTATATCGGATCATAAATTCCAAATTATTATTAGACTTCTGAAGGATTGTTTTCACTGAAAATTTATCATATTTATTATACTAAGCTAACAATTTTCTTGTTAAAATTTACGGATAATGGCCAATGAAATTCAGTTGATAAAGTGCAACTCATACTACATAAATATACAACTTTAAAAGACTCTTTCAATTATAGGTTTGCTTTGAGCCAAACTCAACTTAATTTTCTAACATAAAAAATTAATGATACATAAAATATCGTAAATAAAAATTATAAGAGTTATCGACTTATATCGTGTAGTTGCTGGCAACACAGAGAATATATGTGTGTGTGTGTGTGTGTGTGTGTGTGTGTGGAGTTAATCATGTGAAGTCAGTAGGTTTTTTATGGTCTAGTTTGTCTTTTTCGCAGATCTAGAGGAAACAGGAAAAGGATCCATTTCTATTGGGGGAGTATTCCCAACAATTTCAATCCGTAGATAAAAGACTGTCTTTCTGGAATGAAAGGAGATGTTATGTGGGATCATTCTTAATGAAAGACCATTTTATGATCCGTCTTATAAGCTTACCTTAAAAAATAATTTTGTTTCAAATAGATCTATCTCCATTGGGAATTGAAAATAGGGTTAACGTACAAATCTATCTTCAAAGTTTTCACACAGGTGCACCTAGTATCCTTATTTTTTTTGCACAATTTCTTTGAAATTGAGGTAAGCACATACTTAAATTCAAAGGACTGAATTTCTTTAGGGGGAAGAATGCAATAAACCAAGAATTTAAACAAGATTAAAATTTATAATTAAGTATTTTAATTATATTTTTATTAAATTTTGGAGTAGTTCTATAAGAAAGAATGGTGGCTCAATGGTATCTATTGTTGGGTGTGTTAGATATAGCAACACACCCAAGAGGGGGTTGAATTGAGTGTTTATAAAATTTTCAATTCTTTCAAAACTTTTTCAATAAAACTGTATGTAAGGGAAAGTTTCGGTAAATTCTAGTTCTAAACTTTGATTGCAATAACGCTAAAGCAATTTTCACAAGCTTAATATGTGTAAAATTAATTTCTAAGTGTATGTTTAAGTAAGAGCATGCAGATATACCAAATTCAATTTTATACACTACAACATAGCATTAACTTAGGTTGTTGGAAATATAAAGGGTGAAGGAAAGAGAGAGTGCAAGCTATGATTTATCCTAGTTTAGCTCCACCACTTGAGCTTACATCTAATCCCCAAACAATCGCTTGAGATTTCTCTACTACAACACAAGTTTAAGTGGGTGCTTGCCACTACAGTACAACCACAAGTTTTGTTCGAACACTTGTGAGCCTTTGTAACAACTCACTTTGCAAGTGAGTTTCTTTTTCTAAGAGAATAACCTCTCTTGATTACAAGAAAAATTTCTCCCTCAACTTTGCAAAGATTTTGAGTATATAAATCACTCAATTGAAACTCTCTCTAAGAGAAATGTTGAGTACAATGAAGCTCTAATACTTAAATGATAAAGATGTAAATAATATTGGCTTAAGAACAATGATTTTCATATAATAAGAGTATAAAGAATGCAAATATCATAACTCAATGATTTTTGGTCTTAATCCCCTATTAAGATAAGTTTGGAGTGTTAATTATAACATTCTGAATTTCAATCAAATGAGCTAGTTGCTAATCAAGGGTAAATTATTAATTAGTGGATTGATTGTGGTTTGGATGTTGCGTTGATAATTTGTGTTGATTGGATGTTGTATCGATAGGATTGAAGGTTAGAATAGCAATTTGAGGCATAATGCGCGAGCACAAGTAAGATTGGACTCATTCTGCCACAAGTAACATCCTAAATTTCAATCCTAGGAACTAGTTGTTAATTAGGGGTAAATTAGTAATTAGTAGATTAATTATGATTTGGATGTTGAGTTGATAATTTGTATTGATTTGATGTATTGATAGGATTGAAGGGTAGAAAGACAATCCTAGGCTTAACGCGCAAACACAAGTGAGATTGGCCTCATTATGCCACACGCCACGACGAAAGCTGCGTGCACTGTGGTGCATTATCTAGGGATCACTTAAAGCTGACGTGAACAACTCATGAAATTAAAAGAGAAGGCGCTAGAAATGTGTCTGGAGAAGAGGAGGAGTCTATCTCTGTTAGGGCAAGCCATATCTAGAGGTTTGAAGTCTGCTTCGATTGGTAACTTACTGGGTAAGCATCACGCAATCCTAAGCTTCATTTCTTCCCCATTTTAGTTTAATTTCATCAATTGAAAAATTAAATCATGAAGTTCTAAGGTGTTGTAATCTAAAAAAAAGGGTTCAAACGGGATATCAAATACAGAGCTAAGGTTTTATGACTAGTATGAAGTTAAATGGTTAAGTTTTGAGAATTTAAGCTCAAAATAGCCTAAAAGTTAGGTTGAAATTGAGAAATTTGGTAAATAAGTGAGTTAGGAGGTTGTTATGTTTATTTGAATAGCCTATAGGGCTAATGACTATAGGTAATGGATTTATAAATTCAAAAGGCATTAATTGGACCATTTTATGTGTTAAGGGATTCAGTTTAGCTAAATCAGTGCCTGTGTTAAGTGTTGAAAATTGACTGAGGGACACTGTGTTGTGTAGATTGAGCACCTATGGCATTGCTCATGAGAATCTACGCCCCTGGAAGCTTCGTGTGTTTGGTAACCCTTAGTAGCAAGGGTTAAAGATAATTGGAGTAACCCTTTTATAAATGTCCCAAGAGGGGGGATGAATTAGGCTAATTGAAAATTTAAATGAATTGCAGTAATAATAAGTGAAATAAAGGAATGGAATCACTAATCATGAGAGTTATTAGATGAGCAGAGCTTGACACAAGTGATTTATCCTGATTTGGCTCCTACCACTTGAGCCTACGTCCAGTCTCCAGAACTTCCTAAGATTTCCAACTATTTAACCAAGATTAATCTGGACTCTTAGTTGCCTCAATATATGAACAGACTTCTCAATAAGTCTGAAACTCTCCCCCTTACAAAGGTAATGATAAATCCCCTTAAGCTTCCCGAGCTCAAGTTCCTTTATTTTGAAGATGTAAAATAGGGATAAATAGAGTAAGTTCAAGAATGAACTACTATTTCTTTTAAACTCTCTTTTAAAGTAGATATATAATCAATGAAGCTCTCTATCAATAAATGATATATAGAAGTTAGGTAAACTTAAATGCTCAAATAAATGTAGAATGTTCTTGTTGTTTTTATTGTTCCTCACTATCTTCAGGTT